GGTGTTGAGCAATATTGGCACAAATCACCGAGTTTTGAATCACACGCTGTGATGATGTGGTTAACAGGCGAGAATTCATGTCTGTGACAATGATCAGTGACGAGGGTGTGGAGATGCAAAGTTGCAAGTGAATCAACCTGAGCAAGTTTGATAAAAAGCTTTTCAAGTACTAAGGTAAGGTGGTGGTATGTTGCGGCGGCCGGCGATCGCCGGCAACCCCTACTAAGCGGAAATTGACCCCCCACTGTCGAAGGTATCGGAGATAACGTCGTATCTATCGGCGATAGGTCAATTTGGTTCCGCCGAAACTTATGCTACCGCTTTCTCTCTCTTTCTGCATTCTATCATCACCCAACACCAAAGACCAAGAACCATGATCTCATCGATACCAACACCAGCCCATGGAGATATCCTTCCTTTTCTCCACAAAAACCAACTTTCTCTCTCCTTCAACCAACTTAGTAGTTTGGGGTAACACTATCAGACCTGGACCTGGACGATTTTCATCTTCTCAAGTTGGCCGAGGAGGTATGTGGGTCCTTTTCTTCTCGCTTGATGCTTGCTTAACGGGTTATGATGTTCGTAAACAGACAGAAGGCTCCCAACGGCGTACGTACTTGAAGCCGTGAACGATAGGAAAGATATCGCTGGTTGTTCCCCGTTCCCTACCATCCACCCAACCAACTTTCTTTTCTCATCGTCAATCCTCCACCACCCACCCGACTTGGCCGTCTCGCCGTCGTTGGCTTTCCTCGCCCTCGGCCCGACCCTATCCCGGCCACTGTCCATGACCCCCTGGCCCTTCCCTCCCCGGCTGACATGATTCCCTCCATCACTTGTTACCCCCCACCCGTCCCGCGTCCCAGTCGCTCGGAAAGGCCAACAGACCGTAGGACGAGTGTGGTCAGCCAATAAGGGTCACAAGTCGATGGGGATCGTTTGGGGTTTATGGAACGAGTTGGTTCTCGATGACCCTGCATCTGGAGGAGAAGGAGGACGACGAGGGACACGAGAAAGACAAGGAGAGGAGGAGGCGAAATGGACGAATTCCTCTTGACGAGATTGGCAGACACGGAGGGTGATGTCGAGATGGGAATGGAGATGAGGATGACGAGCTCTGTCCCGTGTCGACCGGCGAGTGCGAGTACAAGTCCAGATGAGGATGAGGATGAGGATCGTCGTTCAGAGTGAGTGAACTCGAAGAGCTGTCAGTTAGTAGATTCATACACACACTCGAGCTGGTCTATCACCTTCCCTTTTCCCCTTGCTAGCTATCTGACATCAAGTCCAAGTCGATACCCCCTTCAACGAATGTCGTATCAAAAGTAGGCTATGTCGTGGATTGTTGTCATGACCCCACGGCCTACTCGTCCACGACCTACTCGTCTACCTGTCCTCTCCCCCCCCTCGTATCCCCTCCTCCACGTCCACCCTCTCCTCCATCCCGACCGCGTCCACCATCTCCCTTTCTTCCAGCCCGTCGTCCACCTGCCTCTCCCCGGTCACAATCCTGGCGCATGTCCTGCCATCTACCTCCTCAAACAGGTCGCCTCCAAGGGTGTGGATTGTAGCGGAGGCTTCCACCCTCCCGTCGGCCTGGTGCCCCCTGTCTTGTACCGGTGAGTATCAGCTTGGCTCGTTCATCTCTCTCTCTCTCTCTCCCTCTCCTCCCTCCCATCATCTTGCCCGTCACCCCCTGACGTTATCTCGATCCAACATCCTACCTCACTCGTCCGTTCCCTCCATCCCGTCAGTCGTTCAATCTTTTACTCGCGTTCGACTCCTTCCCCTGATACCCCACACACGGTGAAACCGCTGACGGATCAGACCTAGGCTCGCATGCGCTCCATGTACCCACAAAAAGCAATTCTGCGCCTTCGTCTCCATCGGCAGGCCATCACTATTGATCCATCAAGGCGTACAACCAGGTTCTCGTCTACGATGTCTCTTGTCAAATCGCGACTGTCATTACACCTTACCTCGTTATCCTCGTTCTCGCCCCGGGATCGAAAAGGTAGCTCCCACCACGACGACCATCATGTCCGCACCGTCTACATCCATCCCAACTCCACTCTCGTCGACCACGACCACCCCACCACGCAAGGCCCGGTGGGCAGAAGCTCCCCGAAGAGCCTATGTGGTGGTTTACTGGTACGACTCTCGCTCGGTCGCTAGGTCATCGATCGGTCTCGTCGCGACGGGGGGAGGAGAAGACGATGTGTCGTTTGGGAGGTTCGACCCGATACTCGTGAATAGGTTGTTGTCGTTGTCGTTGACGTCGGCATCGTCATCGTCATCGACTCGGGCGGGGGGTGAGGGTATTGGTATTGGTAGGGGTAGGGGTAGGAGCAGGGATCAAGTCGATGAGGATGGGGAAGAAAGACCACGTCAACGTAGAAAATTGTTGGATGTTACCGCTATCACACCCACTCCCACTCGTCATCTCACACCGACACGAACGACCACCGAGTCATTCAGCGTATCACACATACTTGAAACTACACCTGAACCGAAGACTAAACCCAAGACCAGATCGAAGACTGGATCACCCATTCCCATCCCTACACCAACGACTACATCTCGTATACCCATACCCACATCAACGGCAAGTCCGTTGATACCCGTGTCGTCAAAGGACCTGTCGGCTCTGTCTCGTGTGAGACCGCATGGAGAGGGAGATGGCGCTGGACGAGGAGGAAAAAGTTCAAATCCGATAGGTGAGACCGACCTCTCGAGAAACACCTCAGGTTTCAGAACCGTAGCGAAAGAAAACGCGGAGACGGGGACGGCGATTGGAAAAACATCGAGAGATACGATCGGGTCCCTTGGGACCGAGGTTTCATCCTTGAGACACGCTTTCGCGCCTGTGGATAGGATGAGATGCTCGAAGGTTCCAGTTCCGGTTCCGGGTTCAGTTTCGATTCCGACTTTGTCTGGATCATCCACGGAGGACGGGCGAGTAGGAGGGGAAAGAGATGGTGGGGAGGGGGATGGCCAAGGGGAAGTACGAGGCAGAGGAGAAGAAGGTGGAGAAGGAGACGGCAAAGGGGAAGCACGAGGCGGATGAGATGACAAAGGAGAAATACAAATAACACAAATTCCAACGTTGACAAAAACATGCACCCCAACCCCAATCCAAATCCATCTCACAAAATCAGACTTTCATCCGTCCCTCACCACATCAGGCTTTCCCACCATCATCCATGCCCACCGTTCCCACCGTCCTGTCCGGGGTCAATTCGTGCTCTCTTCCGTTTCCGTTCCCGTCCCCGAAGCCAACGTCGACCCAGATGAGAGAGGGTATGTGATCTCGTTGGTACCTGAGCGAATAGAAGAGGAAAGCGAAAAGCAAGATGTTTGAAAAAAGTAAACGGTCCGGGTTCTCTGTGGACGATATCGAGAATGGGGTTTTTGATGGGTTATTGGACATGATGAGGATCAAGAACAAGTTGCTTGATGAAGGTATCAACACGAGCGTTTCTTCGTCTTTTTAACTTTTGTATCGGATTCAACATTGATGGTCAAGATGACGTCTGTCGACTCACCCTCGTTGTACCCATGAACGAATGTCAACCCTGTCTGTCTTGTTTCTCCTTTTCAAGATGGTCACCTATCCCTATCTACTCTTTCTCCTCGTCTCCACATGGTCTCAACCCTCTATCTTTCTCTCTCGTGCACCATGTAGTCTCGACTTTCCTATTTCTCCCTTTCTTCCTCTCTCCACCCTATCATCTTGACCCTCGTCTCCCTCCATCTCCTCCCTTACCCCTCTCCGTCTCTGACGCCGGTCTCCTCTTGTCGGTTTCCGTTCGATGCGGTATGAAGAGTGTGTGTTTTTTTTTTGAGGGAGGAGGGGGGGTTTATCCCGTCAACTTACCTCGATCACGTAGTCGGCTTTTGTTACCAAGATGAGTCATACGTCGAAAGTTAATTTCCAGTCTCGCGCACCCCTCACAAGACAGGAGCGAAACCCTCCCCCCAAAAAAATAATAATAACAATAAACAACCGGTTTATTTCCCTTGTGTGGTCTGCTGGGGAGGCGGCAAGGGACAGGTTCTGGCTTGAAAGTCGACACGCCCAGGTATCGCTCGAATGGAACCGTGGGAGTAGAGGTCGGATGGTTCATGAGATCGTTGACTCTGTCACTGGTTGGCCGTAGGTTTGAGACTTGTCCGGTGTCGGGTCGTCGGTGAGTTCTGATTCGTCGGTCCGTCAGGTGAACATAAGGAATCACGAACAATAGTCATCTTCGTTGACCAACCCCTGTCGACCAACCAACCGACCGAGTCGAATCATCCATCCAACGATGGTTTCCTGCTTGTTTTTTCTGTTTTCAAATCACGTTGGTCTTCATGACCTGAGTCGCCTAGCCTTATTCCCCCCCCCCCCTATGGTTCCTGTCTTGGAGCAATCAGTTGTGCATGTGATGGTCGGTATCAGTTCGGTGGTTTTTCATGTCCCGTATCTCTCTTTATCAGTCGTATCATGCATGTGATATCTACGAGTGACTAATTAGCTCTCAAGTCAAGTTCAACACATATATGGTCACTTTTACATTCTCACAACTCGACCATGTTCACATTGGTCTCTCTTGTCAATCATTTCCAATCATCTCGTCGGTATCTCTCAAGTTTTCGAATGATAATGTAGGGGTTCGGACTGGTCGTGGGGTTTGAGGGGGAGGTGTATCTTGTGTCGTTTGATGTGTATCTCATGGGTTGTTGGTTGTGGGGTGCCTGTTTCTCTCATGGGTTGCGGGTTATGGGGTGCGTGTTTATCTCATGGGATGTGGGTTTCGTGTTTACCTCATGAGATGTGGGTTATGGGGTGTGTGTTTATCTCATGGGTTGTGAAGATGGTTCAAGTGATCTCTCTCTCTCTCTCTATACTCTGTACTCTGTACTCTGTTGTCCTTGATATCAAGACACGACATGACAACCACTTCGATCCTGTACACTCGGTATCAACACATGACATGACAACCTAAACAAGCCTATACACTCAGTATCAAGACACGACATGTGAACCTATCCAATCGTGAACAATCGGTATCAACACACGACATGAAGACCTATCCCATCATGAACACTCTTTATCAACACACGACATGACAACCACTTCAATCCTATACAATCGGTATCAACACACGGCATGTCAACCTATCCGATTGTGAACACTCGGTATCAACACACAACATGTCAACCCCTTCAATCCTGTACACTCGGTATCAACACACGACATCACAACCTATCCACTCGTCCACATCCACATCATCCCCTCTTAAAACCCCAACTGACCATCCGGGTACATGATCCCATCATGTGACCAAGTCCCAAGTCCCAAATCCCAAGTCGGTTCCCGCTAGCAGATCTAGAAAATTAGATAAATCTTTACGATCCCCCCCTGTTTTTTTTTTCTTTTTGTCCCCCCCCCCGCTCCCCCAATCCCGTCTAACTGGGGTCGGGTGAAGTTTGAAGGTGATCCGGGGGGAATGTATGGTAAATCTACTCCACTCTGCTATGATAGAAGATTAACAACGAGATACACTCACGTGGAGACAAAAGCATGTGGTGCGATGTGGAAGCTAGACGTTGATGGTGGTCAGAGGGAGGAGAGTGAGAGAATGTCTACAAGTGAAAAGTGTGCGTCAAGGGGAGGAGAAGAGAGGAGGACAGTCCCATCGATCGATCCCACCAAGTCAGCTAGAGAGACGGGCATGTCAATTTAACAGGTTGGACATTAGTGGTTGATGGTAAATTCAAGAGGTTTGTCAGATCAGGTTGCATAGGGGCAAAGGGAAACACACAATGCTTCGTCTGGGGGAAAAACCGTCGAGGTTAGGAATAGATTGGAGTTGAGATTGAGATTGAGATTAGATTGGAGTTGAGATCAACATTAACATTTGGACGTTGACATAAGGAATTTGAGTTGAGAAAAAAAAAAAGAAAAAAAGAAAAGGGTGTGAGATGAATCCAAACGATGCATCAAGTTATGCAGACATACAAACGTACTTGATACCTTCAGATCTGAACATTTTGTCTTGTATGGTTTTTTCCGATCAGGATACGATACGACGGTCTGGTATAGGTCTGTAGGTCTGGATGTCTGGATGAAAGATGATGGTCGGTAGAGATAGTAGTCGATATGAGATATGATTGTTGAGATGTGAATTTTGAGACTTGAAATTAGAGATTTGAGAAAGTAGTCGATATGAGATACGATATCACCATGAGGGGGGACGGAAAGAGAGAGAGGTTCTTTTCATCGGGTTTTTTCATGTTTTTTTCGGGGTTCGTTTTCCACTTGACTCGGAAGGTACTTGTCAAAGGGATGGGGATGGGGATGGAGATGGAGATGGAGATGGAGAGTGGAGATGGAGATGGAGAGAGGAGAGAGGAGAGAGGAGAGAGGAGAGCAGATTGAAACGAATTGTCGGAATGAGAATATCGTCGATTCCATCTCTCGTCTTTTCCTCGCACAACCCACTCCATCAAGTCACTGATCCCATTCCACCCACCCCCAGATCACACATCACCGAGCCGACCAAGACCCTCGGACGGCTCGTCGGCCTCGCAAATCCGACGCAGGGCCTGGATCCCCTCTAGGGCCGGCCGACCCATACTGACCTGCACGCCGAGGTGGAGGATACGTCGGAGGATGAGCAGGTCGGAATCTCATCCCGAATCAACGTCCGAGCGCGTGGTTGGCTTGACGGCAGTCATCTTGGGTTCCAAGACATGGTCGGATCGTTTGACAAGAACGGATGGGACGTGGTCGGTCTTGGTCTCGGTGTCGGAGATCAAAGGGTTCAAGTCGAGAGAGAGGAGTTGGAGTGCCGTGAGGGATAAAGCTTTGGATAAAGATTCGTCAGTGATTGGACGAGGGATGGGGATGAATGTCGGATCGGATGGAACATGATCATGAGAGGTGGGTCTGACGGTGACGGGATGAACTGGGTTCTGATCTTGTCCAACGGAACTGTCCTGATCCTGTCAAACGGAACTGTCCTGATCCTGTCGGATGACAGGGACACGTTCAATGGGTATCGGGGACATTGAACCCTCTGGATGAATAGATGAAGTAGAGAGTGATGATGGTAAATCGATTGATTGTGTTCTTATCCCTTTCCTTTATATCTCCTCGACATCATTTACGATTTTTACTTGTTCTGACTCTCCATCCCATCGTCTTTTACCGACGGACAAACGTCGACCATGGTGATGTTTCATATCCATACCCACACCCGTGTCCATATCCAAACCCACACCCACACCCGTGTCCATATCCAAACCCACACCCACACCCACACCCACACCCACACCCACACCCACACCCACACCCAAGGCCAAGGCTGTGGAAGCGAGCATGTCCAATCCATGATGAGGAACGGTGAAAGACCCGGCTGGTGATGAAGACTGCACACCCAGCCTACCTTTTCTACCATTGACGGCTTTCAAACCCTGTCGATGAACGGCCGTTACCAAACTACATTTCTCCTTGTCACACATCCTACAACCGATCTTAATGTTCAAAGTTCATGTTTCGTGCTCTGGCGCTCCGGAACGAAAGCCTCGTCAGATCCTTTCCTACATGTTTGATCGGTTCTGTCGCTGTCTGTCGCATAAGGTACTCACTCATTCGTATCCGTAGTACGGTGGCCGGGCAAGTCTCAGGTTAAGATATCCAAGCTTGACAGTCATTTGATTCTTTTTTTTTGTCCTTTCCTTTATACCCTCTGAGAGTTCCTCGGATATACGTGGGGCACCTAAGAACATCTACTGTAACAATCAGGTGTAATGGTTTCTCTCATGGGCTTACAGCAGTTAATATACGTACACCCAAAAGCAACTTTAGGGCATTTCGTCTTATTTCTCAAACAGATGAAGAAAGACAAGAAGTGTACTTGATTAGTGGCGGAGAAGGCACTGCATGAGAAGGATGAAGCGCTCCGGAAAGCGTCAGAACAGTTAGACAGTTAGACAGTTAGACAGCTCAATTGGCTGGATACACAGGCTTCAAAGTCTAACGAGTCCAGGTCCGTCTAGGAGTGTGTGAGATTTGAGATTTGAGGACGAGAGAATAGATGGATACATGCAGAGATATGCAACGTTTTGTGAACGGGTATCTGTAAAATGAACATCCCTTGCGTTCGAGGCTCGCGTACTGTACTCAGTGGTTGTTCTCGGAAAAACCGATTTTATACATATGCATTGAAACATTGAAATGTTATCTATCACATTCCCCGATCCGACGGACAAGCCTCAACACCAACACCGCTTTCTATCAGATCTGACATTTCGTCCTTGTTCAATAAAGTCACAGACCAACCCAAAGCGTTCATAGAGGCTGACGCTAAATCTAACGGAGTGAAATCATCTTCATAATCGTCCGAACCATCCTCATCCTCATCATCATCTCGGCTTTGATTTGAGATTGATTCTGTCTGTTTCCCTCGCTTTCCCATCGGACTGATGTTTCCCTCGGATGACAGATTCAAATTCAATGCCAAATCATCATCACCGACCGATTCGCTGCTCTTTGGATGGATCTCGTTCTCGTCATCCTCCTTGTACGAATCATCGTCTTGATCCATGTAGCCGATCTCACCCATCAACTCTTCCTGTCTGATTCTACCGTGTCTCGCAGTCTCGTCCAATGTCCAGGATTCAGGAGTGAGTAGAGTGTAAGAGTCACTCGTCGTTCCCGTAGATTGAGATGTGACACGGATCCGAGTTTCATGTCGGTTTTGGTTCTCAATAGGAACGGGCTCAGTAGGTTTGAAATGGAAAGGATATCCTGGTTTGTCTTCATTTGCGTTTGGGTTTGAACCAAGATGATGATGAAGAAGATGATGACGGCTTGAAAGACCTATGATGAGTCAATTGAAATACTTGTCATCTCCCTCGCGATTTAGTTGCTCAACCGACTGAAATTTCAAACACCATGTTCAGACGTCACCAAGTCTGGGGGGAATGGGAAATTCAGGAAAGAAGAGTACGACCTCCCCAAAAAAAGGAGGAGGGAGATGAATGAAAATGACAAAGGAAAAGAGTAAAACTCGCCTGATCCGTCTTGCCCAGTCCCGTCGTTCCCACCTGTTCTCTCTACAGCCCCACCGCCGTCACCTTTGTTTGCTCCACGTTGAACCTCGTTGTCTCGTTTCTCTTCAGCCCCGCTTGCTCTTCCTCCGGCCACCCTCTCACCACCACCGGCCACAGACCCACCCGTTCCTCCACTTCCGCCCGAAGGTGGTCCACCATGCCGGTTTGACGATCCCGACCCAGTCAAATCCTCAATCTCTCGACGAGGCTTCTTCCTCTTCCCAAGGGAAACATTCACACGTTGATCGACCAACCATTCTATCTCCTCGCCCTCATCATCATCAGGTTCGATCCCCTGTTCTACCGTGAAGATATACTCGGCAGTCTGATCAGAACCGTGTCTAAACATTTCTTCCCATTGTCTCTCGAGAGTATCTCTAGCCGCGACGGCCGCTCGCATCATCTCCTTGTCCGTCTCACCGTCCAACGCCATCGAGTGAAGGTCGGGACGTGTACGAGCAGGAGAATCAATCGAAGATTCGTCGGATCTTGTCCGTTGACCAATCATGTCGAGCCAAATGGGAGGAACGACGTGATATTCCGTAGGATGGATCAAACGCTTCAAAGGTAAATCTGATCGTATAGGACCTCCAATGGAATAAATAGCTTGATGGAACGATCTTAGTGTATCTCTTCCACTTCTGTCACACGAGTTGATACTCTTTGAGGATTTGGATTTCATCATCGACTCGGATTTCAATTTCGATTTTGATTTCGTTTCTTTCGAATCCATATGAACGTTGTCATTAATGTCCCAAGCGAGGGTATGTATAATCTCTTGATGATTGAAGAAATCGGACAAGGGCATTGTTCGTAAATGTTTGCCTGATTGATTATGAGAAGAAAAAGAATGTTTGTCCGAGACTTCGATAGCTATCAATCGTTTGGATACGTCCAGTATCAAACATCTCGAAAATCTGGTATGAAGGGCGAAACAACCCAACCAAGTACCACATACCTCTCCACATTGAGTGAGATACATCAAGGTCTGACCCCAGCCTTGACCCAACCGTCTTCGGAGGGAATTCAAGATGGAGGATGGTTGGCGGTTGAGCATGTCCAGGGTGGGGATGGAAGCGCTAGAAACGCGAGCGGTGGTTTGATCTTGCTCGGTCACAGGAAGACGATCAACTGGGCAAGTAGGTCTGGTCGTGTCGTCGTCGTCGTTTCCGACATTGATCAAGGATGAGCAAAGAGCTATAGCATCGTTGATGTATATCGGGAAAGATTTCACTTCACCTACGGCGACGACGACACATGAACGTTGTTCAATGGGGTTTAGCATGCTTATCGGTGTGGCAGTAGGAGCATCAAGAGGGAAAGTTGATGGTGAAGGCAAAGGCGAAGGTAAGGCAAGGTCCAGTGGTGGTCGGTTGAATGCTTTGGACAGAGTTACAAGTCGGTCTTTGACTAGACGCCATGATTTGTAGGGGGGTTGGAAACTTTTGGTATGGTGGGAGACGGGCGAGGGTTGATCTGAGGGAGGCGGCGGCGGAGAACGAGGGGGAGAACGAGGAGGAGAACGAGGAAGAGGTGCGGAGCAAGGAGGACCGTATAACTTCCAAGACCAATCAGGTTCTTTTATACCTGCACGGGATAGTTCGGATTCGAATCGAGCCCGGGAACGTTTACTTGACGTGGCCGATGGTTCTGAAAGAGTCAGTGAATGAGGTCGACGAGAAGATATGGATCGATCTGGGATCCCGGAACAGCAGTAGAGAATGGTAGAGTCAAGTACGGGATCTGGGCATCGAGAGACGGTTAATTTCGATGGGAGAGTGGTAGGTGAGAGGTGGTGAAAGCGATACGAGATTATGTGAGAGGCACTGAACTATTGAAAGAAAAGAAAACAAAAGGGGAGAAAAAGGACTGACCGGACGAAACAGAAGATTGATGGTCGACTGTCAATCTTGATGTCTTCCAAAGAGAATGGAGGTGATTGTACGTTTTCAAAGTCGTTGAATCTTTCAGACCCAATCCTTGGACAGAGATATCGTCCAAAGGTTGATTGGGCCGAAACTTGAAGTGATAGAACGGACCATTCGAGTCGACGTCGTCGTCTCCTTCGGGGGTCAGCCTGACGATGTGAGGTGTGGAGGGAGACGGGTCAGGGTCACTCACCATCGTCGACGGGGGACATGACGATGAACAAACTCGTCCATTGACCTCGTTGATCATGTTCCTTTGAAGGTAACTCCCTCGAAGACTGTGTGATCTGACGGAGATGATAGCGCACAATGTCAGGGGTGACATGCCTGACGAAAGTGGATCCGTACGTGTTGTCTGGGGCTTTGGGGTGATATGACGAAGGCAGGTTACCCATGACGAGTGAGTAGTTAGATAGGGGAGGCAAGGGAAGGGTGAAGGGGGGGGGGAAGGGAAGGAAACTACCTACCTGATAGGCATGCGTTGATTCCATTTAGGCTCGCAGAGACCCCACACCACCCTACATATACTATATACCTACCTCGTATACAGCACACATATATGTATACAGCATATACCTTGTACCCACATATATACCTTGTCATGACCCCATCAACAGCAACAGCCGGTAGTACATGTCCACCCGTATTACCACTATTCTCAGATCTATCATTCTCTCTTTCCTTTGACAACAATACTTGCCGGTCGGAAACGTTGCGGTATTTGATCACCGTCAGTCCCTCCCTCCCCCCTTGCCGTTCTTAAAGCTAAGCTGCTCAGCTTCACGGTGGTTCCATCCATCGACCATCAGATGATATACTACCGAACACAGTCATCCAAGTGGTACCTTGTCTACCTTTTCCTCGTCAAAGTCCGATTCCGATACATTCTCATTCGTATCCTTGCCGATGTATCAACAAGTCGACCTGCACAAACACCATCGTCAGTGTAGGTTGGATAATGGAATGTATCAAGAACTCTGAACTGTTACCTCTACGTCATGATCTTTTGGTGGATGAACGGGTGGGTACTGGCGATAACCAGAGTGAAAGCAAAACGCCGTCCGTGGATAGGAACATGACCTCGAGTCAACCCTTGGAAAGGAACCAAAGTCAACTCGTAAAGGTGGAAGATCGCTGGAGGTTTAGTCTACTGGAAAAATGGTTGAGACAGGTCGATCAAGGTGAGATCAAGGTGGAAACGTTTTTCGAATTTCATTCTTTGTGTGATGATCGTTTGAAGGCTTTGGTGAGTTTGGTTTTCTCATCTTCATTTTCTGCACAGTTTCTTAAGGGGTGGTGTTCACGCTGTTGATACACTCTGTTACTCTATATTCGTTGCGCACTCTCGCTTCATCAGTCGTCCGCTTTCACTCGTTACTTGAACTTTGAAATCACACTCGTCACGAGAAAGAATCTCTGTTTTTGTTTCTTCTCTCGGATCGAGTTGACCTGACCTGTTTCTCCCTTCTCCTTCTTGCTTCTCCTTCTCCTTCCCCTTCTCCTTCTTGCTTCTTCTTTCAGTTCGAAAGCGCCAAGTTGACCTTGCCTCCTTTCTTTCCCTCTCTTGCAGCTCGAAGGAACTTTTCAAGAAATCACACGATCCATCAACTTTTATCAGAAAAACCGTCAACGGTTAGACCAATGTCTGCCTTTGAAATTCCGTGATAAAAAACGTAAACGTACAGGCAAATGTCCAACGTCGTCCAAGCGTCTTTTCGGTGGTAAGGATCGTGGTCATGTACCGAAGCGCCAGTTGGATGGAGGTGTGGGTGATGATGATGACGATGATGATGATGATGTTTCCGACCGTCGATTAGATGGAGATGTGGGTGGTGATGAGGATGATGATGATGGAGGAGAGGTACCAAGTGTCAAAAGTGAGTTAAACTTTTTTCTTCAAAACCCTCGTAGCGATGGAGGAAGGACCCTTGAGTGTCAATATCACCGTAATTCTTTTCTCTTTCCTCTTTATTCTCTTCCTTTTTTCTCTCTACTTTCTCCATTCCGTTCTTGCGCTAAACGCTGACCCAAACCGAAGGAAACCGAACCAACCTACCGTTCACTTTGACAGAACAAACCAACCAACCATTTACTGGCATACCGATAATCCCCTCTGAACATTTAACGTCATGGATGACTAGTCAAATCATCCCTTATGACCTTATCGATATATCTTGCCTCAAACCTTTGGTCGATCTATCACTATCACTATCGACCTTGGACTCGATTCCTCTTTCAGAAGACTTGATGTCTTGTCGATCGTACGACCCGATTGATGTCGATCTAGGTTTGTTTGATAGGTTCGTCAGTTGTCTCATCACGTTGACGTCGGCTGGAGATACTCTGAATCGAGGTGACAGAATATCAAATATCGCTACGGCTACGGTCACGGTTGATCAGCTCGGAAAAGATAAAGAATCAGGAAACAGATATAAAACGTTGAGACGTTTAACGGTGAGTGATATGACTTTGCCTGACTCTCGCGTCTTCGTGTCCCCATGACTCTTTTTTTTTTTTCTTTTTTTTTTCCTTTTTGGTAGCATTCATCTTTTCCTTTTTAAAGGTCTACGAGGTTTCTCTTTATTTCTTTCTATTCGTTTGAAAGCAATCAAGATTTCCAGATTTCTGAATAATCCATAAACTCATACCTCGTTTTTCAACATTAGAAACGACCCTCACGATACTCTTCTCCTCCTCGTTCTTTCCCTATTCATCCCTATCTGACCAAAGTATACCTGTTCCTGTCAGACCAGTGTACCTGTCCCTTTCAAATCAAAGCGTTGCGTCGCTAAAAAAACGAAAGGGGAAGGATGGATATCAAGACAAAGCGTCGTGTGATCATAAACGAAAAGCAGAAGGTGAAATTGTTATCACAGTTTTGACGTCTTTTCAGATCGAAGGACAAGAAACGGATCTGTTAAATGATAAAATCTCAATTTTCGTTCATTCCATATCGTCCAGAGACAAGCTCGAGGTGGAGGTGAATGATGATACAAAGAGGAAAGATGAAGCGGTGGGTCATGAGACGAAACGGAAAGATGAATCGAAACAAAGTTCGATTATCTTATTATTCAACGGTGATGAAGAATGGAAATGTCATTTTGTTGTCAATGGGACCAACCTTGTGAAACGGGGAGATGGAGAGGAGATGATGATGTTGAGGGAACAGATTCTCAAGGTATGTTTTTCTTCGTTAGGCTTGTTCTTCTTGGTTCTCCTTTCGTCGGCTTTTCCATCTTTCGGCGTCGGCCTCTAAATTATCCTTTGTCTTGTTCATCATCATCATCATCATCTTCAGCCATCGTCTTGATCCTTTTCACCACCCATCGTCCTCTGCCCTCTTTCGTCGTGTTTCAAATCAACCATGGGCTTCTTTCTCTTCTCCTCCTCCATCATCGTCTTGTTCTTCTTCCGTTTTCTTTCATCTTTCTCTTCTTCCGTCTTCTTTCCTCTTCATCTTCTTCTCTCTTCCTCTTCATCCTTCTCCTCGTGTCCTCTTTTTCCCCTGCCTCAACGTTTCCCCCCCCCCCCCCCCCCCCAAATAATGTAAAACCCGACTGACTCTCCAAAAAGCAATTCAAAATTCCGAAAACGAGACCACCAAAACATGAACCACCCCAGACCGGTTCCGGTTCCGAGACCGAGACGGAGACGAACCCCCCACATGCTTTCTTGACAAACCACCAAACGGAAACACACCAGATCCCTCTGATCGACATGATGGCCATACTCATCAGGATGACGTTGTCCCCCATCCCGAACGACAACACGTACAGATCTTTCCCTCAGGCTAGAGAACAAGGTAAGATGAACATCCAAGAAGCTGGTATGGTGTTGAAGATTTTGACGAGGAAATTCAGATAGCCGGTTCTTTCGAGTTTGCGTCGATGGGTCAAACGACAGGGAAAAACCATGTTGAAGCAAAGTGAAGAGGAGCTAAAGGTTCTAATGAGTGAATCTCTCTTTTCTTCCGTAATGGACTCGTGTGTTTGACCTGATTGTAGCTCAACCTAGCCCTCTAGAGAGTATTGAGTTTTGGCTTTCATCTTTATTAATCGATGCATGTGTTATGATTTATGATTTGCAAAAGATACAAGTCGTAGCGGACGCACAGAAATCTGATCGCGTTCCGTCCTTTACTGAAAACCCACTGTACGGATTTGACAACTTTTGTTCGACATTGATGTTGGTAGCTTGGGGAAATACAAAAGTACAAAAGTACAAAGAGCGACGAGTTGTACATGAGTGATGTGACACCGAGGGGAATGAAATGGAGTGATACTGTCATGTCCCTAAGATTGATCAGACCAATCAATTCCAATTCATCTGAGAAACCGGCGAGGTCGATATCCGGTCCATGTTGATCTTTCAGATTGTGAGGAGGGATGATGAATGATGTGCTGCTTTTCATGCAGATTGTTTGGGGTTTGGGTGTTGGAAACATCTTATCATGACGACAAACGATTGATGACAAGAAAAAAAAAGCGATCGAGTCGTTTGGATCACGAGGAAATGAACACATTTCCCCAAGACTCAAGTTTATTTTTTCAAAGACATGTGACCCTCCTTGAATTTTCGTTGCTACTTCCTTCATTCCAAGATAGGTCCACCGTTTTCTACTTGTCGTCTGATCCGAGAAGCTTCATCTGGATCCTCCTAAGGTGTCATCATACGATTCATCAAATGAGGAAGGAATGGATGAGAGGTCGGATGAAAATGGATGATTGTGAAAAAAAAAAAAAAAAAAAAAAAGGGATCGATTAGTGTGGGCGGTGGACACGGGAGGAAGTAACTCACAATGACTTTTAGATCAATGGAGAACATGATGGAGAAGTATTGTGATATTCGTTTGAACCGCTGTCGTTCAGATTCGGTCATGGTGAAGAGAAGAAAAAAGAGCCGAGTGACGGTGGTCGGGAGAGAAAGAGATGGGAGAAAGAGGTATTTTCGAGATTGGACGAGGTGGATTTAAAGAATCCAGTGAGTGACGGGGTGTCGAGGAATAATGAAAAAATAAAAATAGAGCAAGGGAAGAGGTATTCGGGAAATCGGACCGAGGGTGGTGTCAGAAAAGGTTTGAATGAAAGAGTGACGAGGGGGAGAAAGAGAGAAAGGGCCAAGGACGAAAGGTAGAGATTGAGAATCACTCACTTCTCTATCAACACCTCTATCACCTTGATCCAATACACAATAAACATCTTTCTTTCGACTTGATGAACCGTCATCGTCTTGTCTTTCATCTTCCTCCGATCTGACAACATCTTCGTCTTTTCCTGATCTTACAACATCTTCTTCGTCTTTCCCTGATCTTACAACATCTTGGTTTTTCCCTGATCTTACAACATGTTCATCGTTTCCGGATCCAACCGATGACCCTCCGAGCTCACTGTGATTTTGTGATCGGATCGAAATGATGATGAAAGACATAATCTTCTTAGCGTCCGGTATGAAGGTGACATGACAATTCTATCGAGGTCAACGATTCATCGAGATTCGTTCTTTCGTCTTTGAAACGTGAGAAGGAAAGTGAGTAGAAAAGCTTCGAGAGAAGAGAATGGTGAAATCAAAGAATACAATCGGAGACTTGGGCTCGCGCACGAACATGAGAATCTCGGAGAGATCCCTCGAGTCATACCAGCGGGTACAGGTTTGAATTATTCTTCTTGGTTGTACTGGACTTTTTGAGGTGGAAAGGATATGAGGGTCGTGGTTTAGAGAAGGGATGTGGAGAGGTAAGCAAAAAACAGGGGGTTCTCCCTCCTCTGGATCGTAGAGGGAGATTAGAGTATTGGAGTAAGAGATACAACCGAGGGACGCCACATTTCGAAGAGAGTAAGTTCAACAATGAGCATGTTGGGCCGACGCGAATCGCGGATAAAATGACACGACGTTGAGAATAGTCGACACCAAGGGAGATTTTGGGTCCCAAGTGGATGACGGACAAGATGCAAATGCGAAGAAGAAAGAAGGTAATGTCAAAGATGAGATATGAAATTGGAGTTTGGGATATGTTTCATCACTGAGGCAGGAGAAGAAGAGAAAGAAGGAGAGAAAGAAGAAGAAGAGGAAGAAGAAAAGAAAGGAACAAGGGAAAGAGAAAGAAGGAGAAAAGGAAGAAGAAATAAAAGTGAGAAACGTAACCCACCTGGTTTGACAAATCACCAAAAGGGTTCGATTCCCACCATGTTTTCCAACTTTGAAAATCTGAAAGATACAATGCTTTCCTTTCCAACAGATGTGTGGAGACTCGATGGATCTGATATGTCCTCTCGTCTTTTTGTTTTCCTTTGGTGAGGACTCGGCTCGTGACTCCTCTCCTCGAGGTGGATCCGCTCGTGTGTTCTCTCAAGGTGGATCCGCTCGTGTGTTCTCTCAAGGTGGATCCGCTCGTGTGTTCTCCCAAGGTGGATCCGCTCGCGTCTTCTCTCCTCGAGGCCGATCCGTTCAATGTGATTGACGTAGCGATGGACGATGTCGGTCCGGGTACGTCAATCGTCGTTGAAGGAAGACCGACGACAGACAAAGGATCCAAACTCAAGGTTCGATCGAGAACAGCAGGAAAGGTTGTGAACCGGTTGGTCTTGCTACCATCGGTCATCATCCTTTCGGCGGTAGAAGAAGATTCGGACTGGATCGAAGGTGGGATAGGTAAAGGTGAAAAAGATTTGGACGGGATCGACGGTGGGACAGGTATAGGTGAAAAGGATTCGGACTGGATCGACGGTGGGATAGGTATAGGGACGAGAAAATGTGGGAATTGTGATGTGGAAGCGTGTTGAACTTCGACCTGATGTGATGAACCGAGAAGATGGACAACGATACGTTGCTCCTCGCCTTGTTCTTGTCCTTGATCAATATCATCGACAACTTGACCGATACCTTTGTTATTTCTCTCTTTCTCCCGTTTCTCGAGATCAGTTTCATCGGTACTACCAGATTCTTCTTGTTCTTCTTCTTGTTCCCCATCGTTCTCTCCTCGAACCTCTTCCTCTTCCCCATCGTTCTCTCCTCGAACCTCTTCCTCTTCCCCATCGTTCTCTCCTCGTCCTCGTTGCTCTTCCCCATCGTTTTCTCCTCGATCCTCTTCCTCTTCCCCATCGTTTTCTCCTTGTCCTCGTTGCTCTTTCCCAAAAATCCGTTCGAGTTGATCCGTAGCGGTACGAGAAAGTGTCAAGAGATTCGACGAAACCAAATCCTCATCGTCATGTTGATCCTGGATGATAGGTAAACGTCTGATATCTGACAAAGATAAAGATGAAGATGAAGTTTCTCCCTCTCTTGTTTTCATTCTCATCTCAACAGAATGCATACTTTCGTATTCCCAACTTTCTCCTTGAACGGGATGTATATTCTCGTATTCCCGAGTCTTGATTTTCGTCCGAGTGGTATCTTGATGAGACGTTTGCCTTTCTTCCATAGTATGATCACTTTGGTTTTCTTGGAAATCGATTGAATGCTCCTTCTCATTGGATAGGTTCGATTTCCTCTTGAAACCATCCAGATAATCATCATGTCTGTCATTCATCTTACGTCTTTTATTTTCTTTGATAGACGAATCGTCATCCTTGTCGACTTTTTGTCCTCGTCTTTCTTCTGCTTGTTCGGAATCAACACTGATACCACGTTTGACACCTTTGGATCCGAACGGTTCCGACCTCTTCTTACGACTCGAAATCGACCCCGATTCGATCTTGGGAACAAGGTATTTACGTTCGTTGTTAGATTCTTTACCGGAGAATGAATGACCTCTGATTTTCAATTGTGGGATCGTTTGATAGAGTTGATCATCTCTGGATCGGAGGAAGGCTGTGAAACCAGGTTGGATCTGAATGATTTCCTGTCGAGGTGGTTAGTATATCGTTCGTTGACATGTCTCTCACGTTTTTGTTTTTGTTCTGTAGGGTAGACATTCGCCTCCATTGAAAGTACCGAGTGGTTTTTGTTCTCAACGGAAAAAAGGGATAGAGTATGAAGTATGAAGAGCGAAGGGTGAACGAGGAGAAGAAATAGAAGGGATGAAAGGGAAAGTGAGGGTCAAGGTGAAAGTGAGAGTGAGATTGAAAGGGTGAGTGAAATTGAGAGTGAAAGTAGAGTAGATTCATAGGCGTGTAGCTAGAGTAAGACTTGAATATCGTGACAAGAGGAGGACAAAAGCGAAAACGAGGCAGTCCTACTTTATGACGAAGAGTTAACAAAAAGAGTTTCCCGAAGGAAACAAGAACAGAGTTTGTAGGAAATGAAAATCAGAGTTTGTAGGAAATGGAAAAACAGAGTTTCAGAAGGAAAGAAAGAACGGGATTTGTGAAAAACAAAACGATGACAAAGAGCTCGCAGAAAAGAAACCAATGAAGAAGGGGAAAAGAGAAAGAAAATCAAAACCAAAACCAACCTCAGTCTTGCCATCGTTCACTACCCTCTTTAGGTCTTCCTGCCATGATCCGATACTCGATCCATCCTTATCCCAATCATATACTCTAGCATGATCAATGACGAATTTCCTCTGTTTCTCAATCCTTTCCAACCTTTCCAAAGCTTTGGTAGTCAAAACGTCTTGTCTATCCGGTATCCCATTCTTAGATTCCAAAACGTTTTTCCATTCGAAGTTTGAATGTACCCATTGGGTACTTCGGAGTTTATCCACGTTGAAAGTCATACCAAAGGTAGAGAGTGTTTTCCAACTCTGAGCGTTTCCCGTGGCTATTTGAACAGCTTCTTTACGACCTTTTTTCTTCAAGGATTGATCTACGTGACATAATGATGGGATTATGAAATGGAACTTATCAAGACGGTTGAGTGGGTAATCCGACAAAGAGGTGATTGACGAGATGACGTTTGCGCCTCTATTCTGGTTTGGGTCAGTTTCAAGTTTCGGGCTTGGTGAGAGAGGAAAGAAGAGATGGACATGGAGGAGGGAGGAGGTAAGGAAAAGAGACCGACTGACAAGTAATTGGTTGATCAACGTGATGGCTTGAGAAGGTCTCAAAAGAGAATCGAAAATGAAGAAATCTAATCCTCTCAAATCTTGTAAAGTCAATTCTTGTAGAGAGTTGGTCGCTCCTGAATGAACGACCGGTGTGGTGGTGGTGGTGGTGGTGGTGGTGGTGGATGACATGATGATGATGGGGTTTTCAAGTTGGGCGTGACATGTGTATTATATGGTGATGATGGTGAAGACGACGACCATGGTGAGGGTGAGCATTGGTGTCACACGTGGCTTTTGGGAATTCCCCGTCAGTCAGGCTGCCACAAATAAATCCCGGAAAACCCCGGTTATTTGCTCTTCGCAAATAAGAAGCTTTGAAAAAACGGAATTCTCGCTTGGGAAATCACGTGGCGGGAGAGTGAGTGCACGGATGCTCACGTCGTCATCACCTCGTCATTCTCTATTCACATTGTCATTACTGATCTATTCACGCCGTCATTACTACCCTATGTACGTCGTCATTACTACCCTATGTACGTCGTCATTACTAACCTCGACACGTCGTCATTACTAACCTCGACACGTCGTCATTACTAACCTCGACACGTCGTCATTACTAACCTCGACACGTCGTCATTACTAACCTCGACACGTCGTCATTACTAACCTCGACACGTCGTCATTACCAACCTATACACATCGTCATTACCAACCTATACACATCATTACTACCTATACACATCGTCATCACTACCCTGTACACATCGTCATTACACCTATACACATGATTACTAATCTCCACACACCCATCATTGACACCTCGTACACATCCTTGTTTCTTACACACCCGCACCCGCTCATCGCTTCCCTCTTTTCTCTCGGTCCTTATCCAACATGCCCCTCAAACGTCTCTGCGTCTCCTCTTCTCTCAAAGCATCGACGACCTCATTGTCTTGAGCTTCCTTGGCTCTATCTCTCATCTTGCTCTCGATTATCGGTTTCTTATCTTTCAGCTCTTGCAGCCACGACAGACCCGTGCCGCCTGGCGGTCTGGGTGTTTGCATGGGTTCTTCGGTCGAGGGTGGCGGTGGGGCAGGGGGTGGGGGTGGGTTTGAAGCCCGAGCCCGAGTCGAAGCCGGCGGGGGTGTCGTAGGAGAAGGAGAAAGAAGAGGATGAACGTTATTAGTGATGGTAGTGGTGATGGAAGAATCATTCGCGACATTGATATTCTTGACGGATTTATCATTATACGACATGTCGATTTGGTTGAAAACTTTATAATGATGATGGATTTCTTGTACCCAGGGATGTTTATCATGCTTTGACTGGGGTCCATGACCAGATCGCCCTGCGTTCTCAACTCTCTCTTGGATCGTTTCGACGCTGACGCCGAGTGAAGGAAACACGTGAGGGTGGCAAGTCTGGTCGGTGTCGGAAGAGGAACCAGTGGTTTGGTAAGTGTCGGAAAAGGAACAAGTCACTCGGGTGTCATTATCTTGGGTGAGACGAGGTACGACTCGAGCGTCGACGTCACCAGAGTGGTTTGCGTGGGCTGCGAACGGGTACGGGTACGTGGGGATTCGACTGGCGATAGCGAATGGATGGTTGGTTTCAGTGACGAGATGTGATCTAGGTAGAGGTTTGAGAGTACGTATGATTGAGGTTTCATGGTCGTCGATCTCGACATGGTCATCCTCCATAACGACGTCATGATACTTTACATTCCTCGAGGTAGGTCTGACTGTCCGAGGAGTGGTCAAGTTGAAGACTGTGACGTAAGCTGTTGTACATGAGGGGTGCATATGACTGACGTTTGCTTTGTCTGGGAGTGACCGATATGGAATCATAAGCTTGTGATTGGTCAAGAGGGAGAGGGCGGAAGTACGAGGGATCGAGTGTGAACGTTTCCACGTGTGATAGCAAGGTCGCAAGGTGTTTCATCGTGGGTGGCGTGGGCGTGGGAGGAGCGTGGGCGTGGGCGTGGGATGGATGGGGTGTGCAGCGTGTAGAGTAGCGTACAGCGTGGGAGGAGCGTGGGCAACAGCGTTGCAGACAGTAGACAGTAGTACTCTGTAGTAAAAGAAAAGTGCCACGAATTTCGATCCGATCCGACCCAGTCTAAATTCCCGTAATTCCCAAGACCCCAACCGAATCACGGTAAATCCCCAACAAAAAGAAGAAAAACATGTCCGGGTGGTCAAATTTTCGTATACCTCTACGAGATTTATCTCAATCTTACAGACCTACATCAGGTATCATCTTGAAGGGAAACAACAACAACAACAACAACAACAGCAACAGCAAGAGCAAGTTGGGATTGACGACCAAGACGTTGGAGAATGTCAAAGGGAATATACGTCAGTCCTTGTTTCCAAGATAGATACCAAATGACCGACGTTTGACGCTGAATTACACAGATGTCATACCCACCCACCCTTTCGATTGGTCACAACTCACCGATTCAATCACCTTGTCTTGTCGTGCAGCTCCACGATCCGTATCCGTCACCGTCACCCAGATCGTCTTGCTTCCCCCCGTCTCTTTCGATTCGTACCATGACGTCGTCAGGGGTTATGGCACCGGGCTGGACGACAACGTTTGTACCCTCCTTGATCGTTTGGGTCAAACGTGTCAGCGTCGTTTGTTGATGAAGGATGGCAAGATTGGCCTGTTCCCTATCGATAACAAGTTTGGAGATTTGGTTTTGGATCATGATGCTATGGCTGGCTTGATTTGTCAGGTAGGTCGGGTGTTTCCTTTTTGTTTCGTTTTCCGACACAAAACAAGTTTCTTTTCATGATCCCCCCACCGACCCTGTCCACTTCGGGGTATAAAGTCCTATCCTTTTCCACGTCTTTGATGTTGCACAGGACGTACAGGACCCTACTCGACTCTACACTCTCCGCTCTCACTCTCCACCCTCCACTCTCCACTCTCCACTCTCCACCCTCCACCCTCCACTCTCCACTCTCCACTCTCATAAATGCCATGTGCCCAGCACCGGCTCCATGAGTAAAACGTCACAGACGTTGTCTTGTTCGCATCGGACACGCTCCGACGACAGACACCCCCTGACAGACAATCATGTTGACTGCCCTTCAGGGAACTTTCGATAACGGCATGATCGACGTCCTGTTCATTCTTCCATCCATTTACGACGAACCGGGACCGTCCTCGTCTGGGATGCATATCAAAGATGAAATTGTCAATATCGTTTCTTCTCATCAAGGTAGGCAGATTTGTTTGTCAAGCGAATATCAAGCTTTGTGAGTCGTTCCATTTCCTCTTTTCCCCTCGCCTCTTTTTCTCTCTTCGTCTCCGCTTTCCCCCCGGGTCTGTTTACACCGTTATCCAAGTTTCTCCCTGACATCTGTGTAACCCTACTATCAAACGTCCCCTCCCCCTCTCGCATCTGTGCAAGGCCACCATCGGAACCCCTCCTCACATCTATTCACACCATCGTCCGACCCCTCCTCCCCCCCTCGCATCAGTGTAACACCATCATCGAACTCCTCCTCCTCTCCTTATCGTTTCTTTTGCCCCGGTGACGAAAATCAATCGATATGGAACTCGAGATCAACCCCAAAAACCAGATTCGCAATCGCTTCCCTTTACTTTCTCCGCCCCGACCAACCCATTCAACTTGATGTGTTCTATCGTCCATCTCCCTCTTCCGAACCCCTCACCAACACCAACGCTCTGGTCGACCACGACCTATCCAGAACGCTCAAACGACAGGCTAGTTATCTGAGCGAAACCATCTCATCCAGAGCTAAATCAACATCGACGAAAAGACTTCGGACTTCTCTGACCACTCATTCTCATGTCTCCATGGTACAAGAGTTCAAGTCCTCTCAAGAGATTAAACCCTCTCAACACGTCAAACCCAAAGGTGAATCCTTTTCTTTCCTTCTCCCCACTTTCGACAGGAAAAAGAAAGATAAAGATCTAGAACTGTATGCTGACCGAGGAGATAAGAATTGGACCAAAACCAAAACCTCATCGTCCAATCCGAGTTACAGTCATTCAATGAACCGAACCAGCATGTCATCGGTATCGGGTAGAGAGAGTGAAACGAGCGACAGATCATCTTCTTCAATGAGTGTCATCTCCAACTTGTCTTACAAAAAGGAAATGATGGATCATGAGAGTATTCGGAACGCTAGGGAAATCTTGAAGGTTTCTTCTTGGAGGACCGTTGGGGGTGGACGACATGTTGATGATTCTATGGAATCTTTGAGGGAAAAAATCGACAGGATGGGAATGAGTGTTTGAGGAAAGGTTTGTTCTGTTTAATCCAAATCGTTTTCTTTCTCCCCCTTTCCCCTTTTTGTTCTCCATCCCGTCCGCATCTAATTCATTCGCTATCGCTTTTCTTAGTAAAGAATCTTCTTCTTCCCAACGAGAGTGCTTTGCTCGTCTTTGATGTAAATATTCAATTGGTCAATTGATGACTAGATGTTATCAGACTAATATCGATAGCGATAGCTCCGTCGGAGTTGTGAAGAGAAATGACAATGAAGACTCGACTAATCAGTTGTTGATTAGCCAGTGAGATCACTAGAATGTACAAAACATGACTTGCAACGTTCAACAATGATCATCTAGCGTATTTTACCATGAAACCTGACACATCTATCCACCTTTTAACTTTGTCATCTCACCTTGGAACCCCTCCGACCGAGAGATGGATTGGAAGATTGATGGAACCCCAACTTTCTCTTTTATCTATCACCCTCTATGTGTTGTTTCATGATCCATCCTGATTCCTCAAATCCGTCCCCAGGTGTTATAACGGGATTGGATCGAGCGCTCCTGGGTTCAAAATCTACCTTTTATGAGAGTTTAGGGCCCGTCACCTAGATCCTGACAAAATCGTCCATTTTCCCTTGCCGGGAGGGGGTTGGTAGTGCCCTGTCACGACCGATACTTATAGCGAGATCAGCTCTCACCAATATCTACCCGGTCATGATAATGATCATTCCCCTTCTGTCGGGTCAAAGTTGTGGGGGGTAGGGTCCCCTTTCCGACTGACTCACTTTCTTTCCCCTTGATTCAATTTACGTGTTTTTCGTTGCAAGACAACACGTACCGCACCTACCTACCTACCTCGGAACCCATAACATAGACGTTCTTATAAACCCCCTCTGACAGGTTTTCTTACCCATCCATGACTGTGAATTCCTGAAACTGTCAAAAATGTAATTTCTGTCGCCAGCTTGGGAAATCAATCTTTTATCACTCAGAATCTCAAAGTCTCTTTTTGTTCTACTACACTGGCGTGCCAACCTGTCAGATTGACAGACCCGTCTCCTGCCTCCCGAGCTGACTCTGTGGACCTGTGGACCCGTGGATCCTCCTCCTCCTCTCTACTCCCTCACACACACTTCTCGCTTGTGGACCTGTGATCCTGTCAACTTCTAGCGTCTCTCCCCCCTTTCCCCCTTTTATCGTCTCGCTTCCACCCTGCGGACCTCGCTGCGCACCACGTGGTTTTGTTCTTCCTCTCAACACGGCGTATTGTTACCTGGACGCTCTCGGGAACCACTGTGCCATGGTCAGGATTGAACGCCAAGACTGGACGGACCAATCAATAGAATCAACCACTCGAATCCAACTAGTCTCGATAAATTACAAAACCCAAAAACAGACAGCTCGCTTTCTCCAAATCTCTCGATCAAAATTCAAAAGCACAAAACAAAAAACAGATTGTTCAGAATGGATAGAATGTCTCGATAAAAGTTAAAAACCCTCGACTGGGGCGAGATCAAAAATACGGGATTGGATGGACGATTGATTAAACATCTCCATTCCGATCAGTAGCGTAGATTGGATTGTCGGAATGTTTAGATGAACTTGAGGATTGGACCAGGTTAGAATAATAATTGGACGGACAGGATTCAGAACACAGGACAGATTAAGAATGTACGTTAGGACTACTGAAAAAATAGAAAAAACACTCGACATCTACCTGGATATCGAGACAAAGAACGGGATCTTGGCTCCTCTATCCCTTGGCTTCTCTCATTTCCACTAATCCCGTGCGATAGCACTTGACCCTCTTCCATCGTTCACCCTATCGTTATCCTACCGTTCGGACCTTTTCACCTATCGCTATCACCTATCGTTATCACCTATTGCTTTCACCTTGCTTCCACAAGTCAATTTCACCTATCGCTTTTACCACGCTTGACCTATTTAGCTCCGAGGTCGTCGCTTTTCAGAGGGAGGGGGAAGGTTGTAGTCGCTTCTAGTTCCGTGAGGTACCTTGCACCCTTCTCTTGAACTTTCTCTCACATTCTAGTACTTTGCTTCTACTAGAATGTTCTCTCAGTTCTCCTGTCTATCTAAATCTGAGACGGACTGCTCTACTGTCATTATGCATCCTCTTATCCCTTGTTTGTCTTTCTACATTTGGAGACGTTTTTCAATCCCGATCGCGCGTCTTACAGTACCTTGTCACTGATTCGACGTACTTGACAAACCACACGTTCTTTAGCCCATTCATTCATACACATTCGTTATCCTACTGTATGTTACATCTCGAAAATCGAAATCCTAAATTACAGCGAAACCCCGCGAACCAGACAACCACACACCAACAGTTCAGACCCACACTCACTTACATACAACCTTGAATCCTCGTTCTCGTCATCCTCATCCTCATCCAACATGAAATTCGCCAATCAGGAGTCTTGGACGAACAACCCCTCGATTTACCCGTCTTCTTCATGTTATGCACAAACTAGAATCAGCCAGGGTACTTGAGAAGAACAAGACTCACTCCTTCCAACTCCCCCCATGCACTAAAGAATACTCGTTCACTCAAAGAATACTTCTTTTTCAGAAGGGTTCAACGATCCCAAAGCAGCGAGCCAACATTCGACGACCCAAAAGACTCTTTTCCAACACGGCGTCGGCGGCGTCATTCCCGACAAGACCTTTTGGACGTTTGACAAGATAAGTATTGATGTAGGGAACACAAAACATTGGGTTGTGTCACGACCGGTACTTATAGCGAGATCAACTCTCACTAGCAGAGTTGATATTGAGCCTTTTAGGAGTTTATGATCAAGGGCTCGCTACCCGGTCATGGCAGGTCGAGCACGACAATGAAAACATCTAGAAACCGTCAGTACCAACTTGAGAACTACAACTCACCGAGTCGCAATGTAACTCTGCTCTGCTCCACCGGCCACCGGAGGCGGACCACTAGAGGGAGTACGACCAACGGGTTCGGTCGCTCGAACGATACCCACTACGCGAGCGTGGTCGTCAACTTGACTTTTGACCACTTACTTACTGCAGATCACCACGGGATTCCCTTTTGTTGTGTCCATGAAAGAGTCTCGTACCATGGCACCCCCAAACTTGTACGGTATCCGATCAGTCGATACGATACATCTTCTGTACGTGGAGTGTCAGGGGTTCCCTTTAGTCCTAGGCGTAGTTTGAGGGACAAGATCCAACTGGTCAAGCAAGGTAGTAATCTAGAGTTATAGATGGGTATACATTGTCCAAAGAGTAAAGTAGTCATCTTGGTATTTATCTATCTGTCAGCAATGTCCTCTGAATACCCAGAGTTGTCACCACGTGTAACAGATCGATGGGTCTTTTGCCTTACTGAACCTTGTCGCATTGTTCATCATCTATCAATTCCTGCGTGACCATATATATATATCCTCGACACATGTCCAAACGGGTTTCATCATTGTCATTATCATCATCATCATCACACGGCTCTACAAAAAAAGTGTTTGAAACAAATCGGATATTTATATGGGAGAGAATTTCAAAAGGTAAAACTGAAACTCAATCTTCTTCTTCTTCCTCCTCATCCTCTTCATCGTCCTCTTGGTCCTCATCGGTAAAATCATCATGACAACGACGACAAATGACACTATCAAACTTCCTCTTCTTATCCGATTTCGACTTTAAAAAACATCTACCACACATTTTACCTTTCCTTTTCCCTCTCTTCTCGCCATCGATCTCGCCTTTGGTCTTTGTTTTCAGTTTCGGTATGGGTATCCCAGCTTGATGACATATGATTTTGAATTGTTCGTATTCGACAGAGTATTCCTCTTCTAATTCCGATGGATCGGTGATGGAACAAAGATGGATCGAATAAAAGTTGAGAGGGGATACAATGTCTTTCCCTTTACGTGTGAACAATGTTCCTTTTCCTTTTTCGTTTGAACGAGCGGCTGTCGGTCAGCGATCAGCGATTAGCGGGTTGTTCACCGAGGGTTGGTACGGTACGGTAGGGCGGTGTGATTGCGAACTGTGACCGTCCAAAGCGGATGATCAAGGTGCGTTCGGGACATGAGGAAGAGACGAGAGATGAGTATGATAATGCGAGTAATGACGGGGTATGGTCAAGGTGCGTTCGGGACGATGAGGAAGAGAAGAGGGAGATGATTATGATAATGCGAGTTATGACGGGGGATGGTACGATGGTGGGTTGTAAAGAGGGAATGAATGAAATGACGATAGTTACCTGTCACATTGGGTATAACAACGACCGGTAGTGGTTGTGACAGGGATGGTATGAGAAGAGTAGTCGGTCGTAAGGGGTTAGGGTACGATAACAGCAGTCGTAAGAGGGTAGGGTACGATAACCGTAGCAGTCGTAAGAGGGTAGGGTACGATAACAGTAGCAGTCGTAAGAGGAGATGACATGATAAGAGTAGTGGCATTAGGGCGTAGTCTAACAGGCGATGGATGATAAGAAAAAGCAGTCGGAACTGTATCAAGGGATCAAGTCATAGTCTCATCTCAAGGGAACAACGATATCCAATCATCAAAATTGATAGTGATATCCATATCCATCGAACCCAAGAACGAAAAGAAAAGAAAAGAAAAAGAGAAGAGAAGAAAAAAGAAGAACAAACAGAAAAAGAGAAGAGAAAAGAAAAGAAAAAAAACAGACACTCACCGGTCACTTGTTCCTCTTCACTTTTAGCCAACTCACGAACTTTATCCAATCGTCTGGGTTGGATGTTCCTAGTTTCGCAAGCTATCAAACGACCGAATTCCAAGTTGATCTCTTCGTACTGTCGTTTCAGCCACCCCACGACGTCAGGTCGTTCGAGTAGATAGTAGATGTGAGTGTGGTTAGGGGTATGATATGTGAGTGTGTAGGGGTTAGGGGTATGGGTGTGGGATATGAGTGTGTAGGGGTGTGGGATGAGAGTGTGTAAGGGTATGGGATATGAGAGTGTAGGGGTATGGGTATGGGATATGAGCAGGAGCGCACGTAAGGTATATCCGCCATAGTGTGTGTGTGTGTGTGTGTGTGTTGGGGGGGATAGACGGGCATTGACAAAGAATATCTATTCTATCCGATCCAAAACTCGACTCACTGCCGATTTGATAATTCTCAACCTTGATCTACTCCTAGCTACTTGAGCATTAGCAGCTTTTCTCATAGCTTTCCTAACGATTTCTGGGATATCTTCTTGTTCTTGGTCTTGGTCTCCTCCTTCTCCTCCCCCTCCTCCTTCTCCTCC